GAAAAGCGAGCGACGAGCTCACTGATTTTGTCGCTTAAGTGACACCTTAGCGAAAAGCGAGTGACAAATTAGGTTACGACCTTTCATGGAAAATGCTGAATTTAGGGTCTGTCACTTCACCCACAACCCTTCAACTTCTATATATAGGACCCATTGGACGTTTATTTATAATCAATATCATTCCATTTCATTTCAAACTTTGGTTTTGTATAAAATATTTGCATCAAAATCACTATTATAGTAAAGAAGGAATTTCGCTCGAGTTCGTTGGTCAAAGTCATTTGGAGTGCTCCTATGACTTGACGTGGTCATTTTATCTTGGAATGATTGCCAGAAAATCATTAGCACTGATGCAAGGCAAATTCATCTTAAGGAGAAAGTATCCAACACTTGCCTTGGTCAAATTCCATCATTTGTATTTTCTTACTTCATTTTCTGATTTCTTTTAATTATACTTTGATTTCAGAAAACGATTAACCTTATGTATATGTTTATATTGCAAGGCTCCATTTTATGCTTTCATTCAAGAATGGAAAGTGAATGAATCCATATTCATTTATTCGGAATTGGTAAATTATCATTTTGCCTTCTCATATCCCATTTCGGTAAGTTGACATTATATTTTGATTTCATGAACATAAACAGCATGCTTTTGTGAATATAATATGCACATTATCGGTGTAATTCCCCAACAGTTCCAACCTATTCGGATATCCAATTCAATCATAGCTGTCAACGTGTATGTAGTGTAGACAGCAACAGCTTCACCAGCATCTAATTGGAAAAGGTCTTTATCGAGATCTAAAATATCTTCTGCCATGACAATGTTAAAAGAAAAGTACATGTTCAGGGACTAGGCAAAGCTTTTCAAACGCCTACCCACCTTTTTTGTTTTTTCCGTTGATTTGATTCTAATAGCCATAATTTTCAGATGCTTAATGGGATTTTCATATCTAGCTGAAAGAGTTCGTATCAGTATTATGTACTATGTATCGGTGCTAATCTCAAGGTCAATGACGTGTACCTTGCTTGCCTCTTCTACATGTTCTACGAAGGCTCGAATTTTAGCAAATTTGGTGATCTTATGAATAGGTAACTCATCATAAAATGCAATCAGGATCTTATCTTGGCACTTTAACAAATCCCACACCTTTTTTGCTGTGGTTACAGCATCAATCCTTGGAAACGTGTTTTTTGATACAGCAGAATGGATGAAAGAAAGAGCTTTATAGTTTTTGGTGAAGTCTTCCTTTTGTTGTTTGATTTGTGCTAGTTTGATCTTGTGCCTTGTTGGGTTTTGATACCCAATAAATTTCGGGCGATGATGTTAAATAATTTCAGATAATATTTCATAAGCCTCGACCGATGTGTGAAATATTTATCAATCAATCAATTCATATACTCGACCCATAAACAACTGGGCCACTAGTAATAATTTAATTGGTTTTAATGTTGTCTTGGCCCAAATTCACTTATAGGAGGGCTTCCTTGTGTCTTGGCCCAATCCTTTGTTTCTTACCCCAATTGATAATATAACCTATATATATATAGAACCGGCTGCCTCTTTGTGATCTCCTTCAAGCTCTTGCCTTCTTCTATCTTCTCTTTGCCTTTGTGGCCTACAAATCATCACCATAACCTTGTCCCTTTGTGGGTGAGAAAGAAGGAATGCAACCATAAGTGAATAGACTTGTGGGTTGAAGTTTTGTTAGTTGGTTAATATTGATTGGTAAGTTTAATCTGAGCCTGGAATACATTAACTGAAGATTAATCCAGCTACATGCCTTATTTGCGAGCTCAAAACCCTTTTTATTGCTCAAAATTCATAACTTTCCCCGGTGAAAACACGAGATGTGAGCAAAGAACTCATGAAAAAAAAATTCTGAGGCCCTTAAGATCACAAAAACTTTGATACCATGTGAGTCTTCGAATGGAGAAGAGTTTTTATTCTGTTGATGTTGGATAGAAAACTGAGATACAAAAGTGCAGAGAATTTTATTGTTTCGTTCAAAAGTTTTTCTTCATGCATATATACATACACCCTTGATCAGTTTTTCAACCATTCTATCTACTAAACAAGGCTTCACATTTTTTACACCATGTATTTTTCAATAAGTACAAACAACTTTTGCTTAAATTAAGTTAAAACTATACATTACAAAAGGTTAATCCATCGTGAAAATTACTACACTCTACAGCAAAAGGTCATTGCATCAACAAGTTCATTGTGGTAAAGTGCAAACATTTTCATCAGCCTACAGTCATATGATACTAATCACAAACTCGAATGACTTATATTAAATTCTATCTGCACTTAATTGAAGACACAAACAAGAGTTCAAGCTAATGAAACACTGACGACCACAAACCATCATGAAATTGACACAAAAGTTTCAGTATAAATCTTCTAAAAAAATGCCACAAAACTAGGGTATAGTGTGGATTAATTACATGCCAACATGAATGAAGATGAAGACAAACCAATGAAGTCAGATTGCCCACTAATTTTACCTAAAGGCGATACTCAGAGTTATTAAATAATGTCTTCTTTACAACGGTGAATGTTTAGCCAATCTTTC